CTGGGCTTTCGGGCTCTTGCGGGAGTCCATCGTCAGAGATAAGAGCGTCCCGTAAAACGATTCATTGGCTCCTACCCCCTATAACTGTTGCTTGCTTTTTGTGGACGCTCTTATGTCTGACGATGGACTCCCGCAAGAGCCCAAAAGCTCAGGACAATAAACAAATTGACCCAGTGCTTGACAACCCTTCTTCCTCACTCCTTATGTTGGCGGCATGAATATATACATTACACGATTATCCCGCAGTGGTTGATCCACTTCGGCCCCACTATATGCATCGATACCCATAAAAGTCGAATACGCTGATCTATACTGAGCTCAAAAATTAATTTCGGCAAGACCGTCTTGTAGGGCCGCCTAAATATCGATTTTCCCCACCCAACTGTCTTACGGAACATTGAAGTCTTGGTTAACGAGTGTAAATGAATGTGTAATTTTGTCGTAAGTAAGCCAAATAATATTAAATTGAAGCGACATAAAGTTGTTTTAGTGAGCTAAATAGAATCAACTCCATCAAAATAAACTCCTGTTGCTCAGGCGGCAACTGATGCCACACTGATGAAAATTTGACCTTATATTGGCGGGATATAAACGGATAAAAGGGGGGGAGTCGGGTTACAAAAAGGAGGCTATTGTCAAAGGCAAGCAGGACCTCTAAACCCCAATCATGAGAGGAAACAAGCAGAAGAAAAAAATACCTTGCGACGAAGTGCTTTGGTGCCCTCTTGGGACGATACTCGGGATGCACCAGAAAGAGCATGTGTGGGAAGCCAGTTCCAAAGTAGGCTCCATCCGTGTGATGATGCCGGGTCGATTTGGGCGCATATACGTCCTGACAGCGGGGACAGTAGATCTTAACCATGGCCTCGCCGGGCACGTCGGACAGACCGATTGGCAGGCAGGGCTGGTTCTCACAGTAAACCTGAAATCCAGAAATAAGCAGGGTAGGCAATTATCCCCAGGAAAAATGTGTTGTTGAATTCCGTGATGTGAGGTCTAACCATAACAATCTCAAAAGGACAGCAG